GAACTGTTTAGAAATTACAGCACTTTTTGTACATAGTCCCCCTATTTTACGGGGACCATAAGTATTGGGACAAATGCACTTATGTGATCAACAACCAATTTGACAGAGCTTGAAGAATTTTGTAAAGAATAATGGAAAATGTTGCACAATCCAGGTTTGGAAAGTTCTTAGACACTTTACCCAGAAAGACTCACAGATGTAATATCTGCCAAAGGTACTTCTACAAAGTATTAACTCATGGGTGTGAATATGTATTTATGTAAATGAGATATGTATGTATTTTATTTTCAATACATTTGCTAACATTTCTAAAAACATGTTTTCCTTTTGTCATTATGGGGTATTGTGAGTAGCTGGGTGAGAAAAACACACATTTAATCAATTTTGAATTCAAGCTGTAACACAACTAAATGTGGAATAATTCAAAGGGTATGAATACTTTCTGAAGGCACTGTATCTACCTCAATTACCTTGTACCCCTGCACATCGACTCTGTACTGGTACCCAGTGCATATAGCCAAGTTATAATTACTCATTGTGTATTTATTCCTTGTGTTATTATGTATCTATATTTTTTTCTCTGCTTTGTTACTTACTTACCGTAAGTAAGCATTTAACTGTTAGTCTACACCTGTAGTTTACGAAGCATGTGACAAATACAATTTTATTAGATTTTATTTTATTTGAAGCATTATGAAGCATCTAGGACTGAGTAAAAGTTGGTGAGTTGAACTTTGAAAAGAAAAGACAGTTGGAAAGACAATCTCTTAGACTGTACTATATATGGGTGTGTTCGTAAATTCGCTCTGGCTATCTACACCGATTTCAGAGCACTCTCGTCTGAGTGTGCCAGAGCGTAGAATAACTGATGAATTTACGAAGGCTCAACACCCGTTGAATATGGCCGTGTTTGTAAACGTCGGCAAAAAAGTGCCATGAAATTGTTGCCAGCAGCACAGCTACAGTCACCAAAGCTATAGATAACATGAAAACAGCCTAACCAGCTCTGTTAGGGCGAGTAAAATGGTTAGAGTGAGATGTTCTCTCATTTGTGTCGAAGTACAGTGGGGGAAAAAAGTATTTAGTCAGCCAACAATTGTGCAAGTTCTCCCACTTAAAAAGATGAGAGAGGCCTGTAATTTTCATCATAGGTACACGTCAACTATGACAGACAAATTGAGGAAAAATTATCCAGAAAATCACATTGTAGGATTTTTTATGAATTTATTTGCAAATTATGGTGGAAAATAAGTATTTGGTCACCTACAAACAAGCAAGATTTCTGGCTCTCACAGACCTGTAACTTCTTCTTTAAGAGGCTCCTCTGTCCTCCACTCGTTACCTGTATTGTCATGTATTAATGGCACCTGTTTGAACTTGTTATCAGTATAAAAGACACCTGTCCACAACCTCAAACAGTCACACTCCAAACTCCACTATGGCCAAGACCAAAGAGCTGTCAAAGGACACCAGAAACAAAATTGAAAACCTGCACTAGGCTGGGAAGACTGAATCTGCAATAGGTAAGCAGCTTGGTTTGAAGAAATCAACTGTGGGAGCAATTATTAGGAAATGGAAGACATACAAGACCACTGATAATCTCCCTCGATCTGGGGCTCCAAGCAAGATCTCACCCCGTGGGGTCAAAATGATCACAAGAACGGTGAGCAAAAATCCCAGAACCACACGGGGGGACCTAGTGAATGACCTGCAGAGAGCTGGGACCAAAGTAACAAAGCGTACCATCAGTAACACACTACGCCGCCAGGGACTCAAATCCTGCAGTGCCAGACGTGTCCCCCTGCTTAAGCCAGTACATGTCCAGGCCCGTCTGAAGTTTGCTAGAGTGCATTTGGATGATCAGGAAGAGGATTGGGAGAATGTCATATGGTCAGATGAAACCAAAATAGAACTTTTTGGTAAACACTCAACTCGTCGTGTTTGGAGGACAAAGAATGCTGAGTTGCATCCAAAGAACACCATACCTACTGTGAAGCATGGGGGTGGAAACATCATGCGTTGGGGCTGTTTTTCTGCAAAGGGACCAGGACGACTGATCCGTGTAAAGGAAAGAATGAATGGGGCCATGTATCGTGAGATTTTGAGTGAAAACCTCCTTCCATCAGCAAGGGCATTGAAGATGAAATGTGGCTGGGTCTTTCAGCATGACAATGATCCCAAACACACCGCCCGGGCAACGAAGGAGTGGCTTCGTAAGAAGCATTTCAAGATCCTGGAGTGGCCTAGCCAGTCTCCAGATCTCAACCCCATAGAAAATCTTTGGAGGGAGTTGAAAGTCTGTGTTGCCCAGCGACAGCCCCAAAACATCACTGCTCTAGAGGAGATCTGCATGGAGGAATGGGCCAAAATACCAGCAACAGTGTGTGAAAACCTTGTGAAGACTTACAGAAAACGTTTGACCTGTGTCATTGCCAACAAAGGGTATATAACAAAGTATTGAGAAACTTTTGTTATTGACCAAATAATTATTTTCCACCATAATTTGCAAATAAATTCATTAAAAATCCTACAATGTGATTTTCTGGATTTTTCTTTCTCATTTTGTCTGTCATAGTTGACGTGTACCTATGATGAAAATTACAGGCCTCTCTCATCTTTTTAAGTGGGAGAACTTGCACAATTGGTGGCTGACTAAATACTTTTTTTCCCCACTGTAGCTAGCAAGCTAGCCATAGTTAGCTTGGGTGCTTGACTGCAGTTGTGTGGTCAGAACGCTTGACTCAAGCCTACTCCTCGGCCAGAGTGTCCAGTGTCCGCTCTGAACTCTCCGAGAGTGAAACTCTCTGAATTTACGAACTAACAATCTGGCAACACTCTGAATTAGCGAATGCCCAGAGCGCACTCTGAGTGCACTCTGGCACTCCAGATTGAATTTACAAACACACCCTATGTCAGACAAATCCTAAAAGTTATATTCCATGTCTCCATCTAGTGAGACGAACAAAGGGTGTGTTGGAAAATTCAATATTGAGTGCGCTCAGAGTGAGCTCAGAGCATTGTCAAATTGTCCATTCCTAAATTCAGAGTGTTTCGCTCTCGGAGTGTTCAGAGCGCACACTGATGCTCTGGCCGAGGAGTAGGGTTGATCCAAGCGTTCTGACCTCACATCTGCAGTCATGCACCCAAGCTAACTGGCTAACGTTGGCTATCTGTGTTCGTAAATTCAATCTGGAGTGCCAAAGTGTACTCTGGGCGTTGGTAAATTCAGGGCATTGTCAGATTGTCCGTTCGTAAGTTCAGAGCGTTTTGCTCTCAGAAAGTTCTGAGCGCACACTGGACGCTCTGGCCGAGGAGTAGGGTTGATTTGAGCGTTCTGACCTCACATCTGCAGTCAAGCACCCAAGCTAACTGGCTAACTTGCTAGCTACTTCCAGACACCTCACTCTGACCATTTTACTCGCCCTAGCAGAGCTGATTAGGCTTTGTTCATGTTATCCAGAGCGTTGGTGACTGTAACTGTGCTGCTGGCAACAATTTAATTACACTTTTTTGCCGAAGTTTACTGACACCGGCCACATTCAACAGGTGTTGAGCGTTCGTAAATCCATCAGTTATTCTGCGCTCTGGCACAAGACGAGATTGCTCTGAAATCGGAGTAGATAGCCAGATTAAATTTACGAACGCACCCTTGGTAGCGCCTTACAGACACAAATGAGAGAACACCTCACTCTGACCATTTTACTCGCCCTAACAGGGCTGGTTAGGCTTTTTTCGTGTTATCCAGAGCGTTGGTGACTGTAACTGTGCTGCTGGCAACAATTTAATCAACGTTTACTGACACCGGTCATATTCAACGGGTGTTGAGCATTCGTAAAATCATCAGTTATTCTGCGCTCTGGCACACTCAGACGAGAGTGCTCTGAAATCGGTTGTAGATAGCCAGAGTGAATTTATGAACGCACCCAAAGGATCACAGTCTGAGATACACTACTTTCATTTGTAAATGTATTGATTTATTGCGCTACTGGAAATAGGGTCCTCATGATTGATTACACACACATTAGTTACACTTATACATTATGTTACAGAACTTTTTGAAAAGGTCAAGATTGTTTAATATAAAGCCTTCATCTTAATGAAAATGTATGTATCATGAAATAAAATCTGCTAAATGAAAGAACGTATTCTGAACCTATAGAAATTGATCCGTTCGGCCAATTCTTCACTGTTTAATGATTCGATATTGATACTTTCTAAATACTATTATTTTGTGAGAATGCAGTGGAAAAGGAATTACTTCCGGGTTACAGTTCATTCACACGCACACTTTCAACAGCCTGCTTGTATTTCCCCCATTGTTGTTACGTGTTCTCTTTCCTTTTTGGTTTGAAACATGACTTTAAAGGTCTCCCCCCAATAGGCACTTTTGTTGACAAGGGGTTGAATGTCACGGAGTAAGTATAAAGATGTGAATTGGCTTGCTAATTGCATTGCTAGCCTGCTTGCTACCGGTACTCAAAGCTAGTTAGCATAAATTGTTAACTAGCTAGCTAGATTCTCATTGAATTAGCTAGCTATGTAGCTAAATAGCAGCATATTTGTGTTAGCTTCCTAATTGACGATTTGCCATTTACTTTGAATGTTAACGTTATATAGCTAGGTAACCTTAGCTAGCTACCCCTCTTGATTTATTCCTTTAGCTAACTAGCTAATTTAGTTCGCTAGGTAGACTAATTCGCTCCTCTTTGTTTAACTGAGGAATGCTCAACTCTGTTCTCTCAGCTATATCCGCTTTCGATATAAGAGAACGGAGTTTAGTGTTTCTCAGCTAATCTTTGTTGTCAGTATCACAGATGAGCTCATGTCATGGTGTTTGTATAGCTAAGCATGATAGCTAACTATTCTAGCCATAGCCTAGCCTAACTAGTAGCTGATGGATGCACATCCAGACCAAGTTATGCAACATGTTAATGATGGGACACATGACACACACATCTATTCATGAGCTTTTCTTGTGCCCCAGACTCCCTTCTAACTAGATGTTGACCAGTGTCTGCTGCCCACCCAGGCCAGTATGGACGAAGGAACCCTGGAGGCTGCCATCACAGCCTACGGCGCCCAGCTGCAGCAGGTGGAGAGTGCCCTGTTGGCCGGCCTGGACCCGTCGCAGCAGGCTGACCTGCTAAAACTGAAAGAAGACATCTCTCAGCTTATAGAGCTCACAGAAGCTAGCCTAGTGTCAGTCAAGAAGAGCCGGCTCCTAGCCACTCTCGAAGAGGCTGACGGGTTCCAGTCGCTAGCCACAGGCACACCAGCTAACGGTGGCTTGGACAATGTGTTCGCTGCCTTCTACTCAGAAGTGGGGGAGGTTTCCGGAAGTAGCTCAGACATGAGAGAGAGGGGAGAGGAGGAGGAGGATGATGGCGAGGGAGAGGGAGAGGTAGACGTGCTAAGTGGCACCAAAGTGCGAGCACCCTACCGCACCTCTTGGGGGACTTTGGAGTACCACAATGCAATGGTCGTGGGGACAGAGAGTTGTGACAGGAATGAGGCCCAGGTGAGGGTGCTGTATGTCCATCCCACACAGAAGTCCATGAAGCCCTGCCCATTCTTCCTGGAGGACAAGTGTCGCTTCGCAGACAACTGCAGGTATATTGTTTATTAAGGGTGTGAACGTTTAAACGAAATTGGGATCCTTAACGTTGAGAAAAATCTGAAATCAAATTCAAATCGCAGTGCAGTTATCACAAAACATGTGATTACTATAGCCTAATTAGACAGTAGGCCTGGGAAATGTGATGTAATTTAAATAAAACCGGAGAGGCAAACTTTAGGTTACTTTGGTGAATTTGGGAGACGCGCATATGTCTTGGTAATGTCTTGCACATCACGTTTTTTTCAGCCTGCCCCCTCTCTCTCCCTCGCGCTGGCTCGCCTGGGACTTGTTTATTAGGCCGATTCTGTTGTAAAACATTTCTTAAACGGAATGAAACAGGGAGGGACCTACCTGAATATAAACTCTAGTTTTAGTTGCAAACCGGAACATTATGTTTTGCAACTGTTTGGACTAATGATTACACCCCTGCTCTTTCTCTTCGCAAATGATGCGAGTGTGTTCAGTCTTTACTCTGTTGCGTGTAGAATATCCTACCCTATTCACTGATGATAGGCCCTGCTTTACTGAAGTTGCGAGACATTGCAAGCCAAGAAATTGAGATAGATGGGCGTAGTGCACTGTTCTGACTGTCTGCCTGTTAGCTGACTACACTGTGCCCCTCCCCTCTCTCTCCGCCCCTCCCCTCTCTCTACGTCCATCGCTATGAAAGATGCGAGTGTTTGTGTTCTCGGAAGTACGGCAACTAATCCGTTTCCTCCGTTCCAAAAATACTCAATCTTAGAAATCTTGACACTTATTTTGTAGTCTACTCTCCACCACTACGTCATCGTCATTAACAATTGGAAAAATGGCAGAAAGGCAAGCTACATCAGCGAAGTCCTGAATGGCAATACTTTAAGAAGTTAAATGAGAAGGAAATGTTAACTTTGAGAGGTAGAATTTAGGTACAGTAATGATAGGACAGGTGCAATGCTTAACCATCTGAAAGGGATGCACCGTGAGACCTAAACTGTTGCTGGCTCAGCGCAGCTGCATTGTTAATTCACATTAAATTCTATAAATTGTTCTTATCGTTTTAATGGAAAACCGATCTATGATCTCACACGGATGTCTTTTTACAGGGTTGGAAGGAAAGCAGAACATATATTTCCTTTGTAACTGATGAAGTAATAACATACTTATTTTGTCAGTCAAATAATTTTACTGATAAATAATTTTACTGACTAATTTGTCAGTCAAATTATACACCCTTATTTTTCCTCAACCTCCACTTGGTTTTCCACTTCATTTTAATTGCCATAAAACGTTTGAGGTGTTGAGCTTTCATGCAGTCTTTTGCGCATTCTTTTCAGTTAAATTGAAACCCTTCGATTACTCTCCCAAATGTTATTTTGCCTGTACTGGCTATGATACGCCGTCTCAGTAAGGACCCTCGTCTGACCACTGTTCTGGTGTTGTAGGTTCTCCCATGGCGAGGTGGTGTATGTGTCAGAGCTCAGAGAGTTCCTGGAGTCAGACCTCACTAACCTTCAAGAGGGCTCCTCCTGCTTGGCCAGGCAAGACGATGGCATCTGGTACTCGGGCAAAATAACAGGTGTGTCACTGACTGTCCATCACCTACAGCAGGGGTACTCAACTACTATTTGAGGAGGTCCGGTCACACATTTTCTATGTGACAAAGGTCCGGATGGATATTGTCATTTATCGGCGTAGGAACAAGGTAGCATTTGGTGAACAGGTCAGGGTTCCATAGCAGAACAGCAGAAACTGGAGCAGCAGCACGACAAGGTATGATACCTGAGTGACTCAACAAAATCAATGGGGGCCCCCTGGGGGTTGAGGCTCCGGGGCACGTAATCTGGCCATGATAACCACAACATTTACACTGAACAAAAATATAAACGCAATATGCAACAATTTCAACGATTTTACTGAGTTACAGTTCATAAAAGGAAATCAGTCAATTGAAATGAATTCATTAGGCCCTAATCTATGGATTTCACATGACTGGGAATACAGATATGCATCTGTTGGTCACAGATACCTTTAAAAAAAGTAGGGGCGTGGATCAGAAACCAGTGTGACCACCATTTGCCTCGTGCAGCGCGACACATCTCCTTCTCATAGAGTTGATCAGGCTGTTGATTGTGGCCTGTGGAATGTTGTCCCACTCCTCTTCAATGGCTGTACGAAGTTGCTGGATATTGGCGGGAACTGGAACACGCTGACGTACACGTCAATCCAGAGCATCCCAAACGTGCTCAATGGGTGACATCTTTGAGTATGTAGGCCATGGATGAACTGGGACATTTTCAGCTTCCAGGAATTGTGTACAGATCCTTAAGACCTGGGGCCATGCATTATCATGCTGAAACATGAGGTGATGGCGGCGGATGAATGGCACGACAATGGGCCTCAGGATCTCATCACGATATCTCTGTGCATTCAAATTGCTATCGATAAAATGCAATTGTTTGTTGTCCATAGCTTATGCCTGCCCATACCATAACTCCACCGCCACCATGGGTCGCTCTGTTCCCAATGTTGACATCAGCAAACCGCTCGCCCACACAACGCCATACACGCTGTCTGCCATCTGCCTGGTACAGTTGAAACCGGGATTAATCCACGAAGAACACACTTCTCCAGCGTGCTAGTGGCCATTGAAGGTGAGCATTTGCCCACAGAAGTAGGTTACAACGCCGAACTGCAGTCAGGTCAAGACCCTGGCGAGGATGAGCACACAGATTACCTTCCCTGAGACGGTTTCTGACAGTTTATGTCAAAGTTTTTATTTGATAAGTGGCCGAACGGAAGCCACTCCTGAGAAAAAGGCACATGACAGCATGACTGGAGTTTGCAAAAAGGCAAACTCGAGCATAAGGCAAACGATTCTGTGGTCAGATGAGACAAAAATGTATGTCTTTGGCCTGAATGCAAAGCGCTATGTCTGTAGAAAACCAAGCACAGCTCATCACCCATCAAACACCATCCCTACCGTGAAGCATGGTGGTGGCAGCATCATGCTATAAGGATGCTTTTCAGCGGCAGGGACTGCGAGACTGGTGAGGATAGAGGGAACAATGAATGGAGCCAAATACAGGCAAATCCTTGATGAGCACCTGCTTCAGAGTACAAACGCCCTTAGACTGGGGTGAAGTTTTACATTCCAACAGGATAATGACCACAAGCATACAGCCAAAGCAACGCTGGTATGGCTTCAGAACCAGAATGTGAAAGTCCTTGAGTGGCCCAGCCAAAGCCCAGACTTGAATCCCATTGAACATTTGTGGAAAGACTTGACCCATGACTGCATGGCCAGGCACGACTCCAACACCATCATTAAGTTTGCCAACGACACAACAGTGGTAGGCCTGATCACCAACAACGATGAGACCGCCTATAGGTGAGGAGGTCAGAGACCAGGATAACAACTTCTCCCTCAACGTGATCAAGACAAAGGAGATGATTGTGGACTACAGGGAAAAAAGAGGACTGAGCATGCACCCATTCTCATCGACAGGGCTGTATTGGAATGGGTTGAGAGCTTCAAGTTCCTTGGTGTCCACATCACCAACAAACTATTTTTGTCCAAACACACCAAGACAGTCGTGAAGAGGGCACAACAAAGCCTATTCCCCCTCAGGAGACTGAAAATATTTGGCATGGGTCCACAGATTCTCAAAGTTCTACAGCTGCACCATGGAGAGCATCCTGACTAGTTGCATCACTGCCTGGTATGGCAACTGCTCGGCCTCCGACCGCAAGGCACTACAGAGGATAGTGCGTACGGCCCAGTACATCACTGGGGCCAAGCTTCCTGCCATCCAGGACCTCTATACCAGCCGGTGTCAGAGGAAGGCCCTAAAAATTGTCAAAGACTCCAGCCACCCTAGTCATAGACTGTTCTCTCTGCTACCGCACGGCAAGCGGTACCGGAGCGCCATGTCTAGGTCCAAAATGCTTCTTAACAGCTTCTACCCCCAAGCCATAAGACTCCTGAACAGCTAATCATGGCTACCTGGACTACTTGCATTGTCCGCCCACCCCAACCCCTCTTCTACGCTGCTGCTACTCTCTGTTTATGATCTATGCATAGTCACTTTAACTCTACCCACATGTACATATTTCCTTGACTAACCTGTGCCCCCGCACATTGACTCTGTACCGGTACCCCCTGTATATAACCCCCCTACTGTTATTTTATTTTACTGCTGCTCTTTAATTATTTTTAATTTCAATGTTTTTACTTCACACTTACTTTTCTTAAAACTGCATTGTTGGTTAAGGGCTTGTAAGTAAGCATTTCACTGTAAGGACTACACCTGTTGTATTCGGTGCATGTGACAAATACTATTTTATTTTATTTTATTTGAATGCTGTTCACTGCCGCTCCCCATCCAATTTAAGAGCTTGAGAAAATCTGCAAGGAAGAATGGGAGAAAATCCCCAAATCCAGATGTGCAAAGCTGATACAGACATACCCAAAGCTGTAATTGCAGCCAAAGGTGCTTCTACAAAGTATTGACTCGGTGTGAATACTTACACTATCGTTCAAAAGTTTGGGGTCACTTAGACATTTCCTTGTTTTCGAAAGAGAAGCAGTTTTTTTGTCCATTAAAATAATATCAAATTGATCAGAAATACAGTGTAGACATGGTTAATGTTGTAAATGGCTATTGTAGCTGGAAACGGCAGATTTTTTATGGAATATCTACATAGGCGTACAGAGGCCCATTATCAGCAACCATCAGTCCTGTGTTCCAATGGCACGTTGTGTTTGCTAATCCAAGTTTATCATTTTAAAAGGCTAATTAATCATTAGAAAACCATTTTGCAATTATGTTAGCACAGCTGAAAACTGTTGTGCTGATTTAAAGAAGCAATAAAACTGGCCTTCTTGAGACTAGTTAAGTATCTGGAGCATCAGCAATTGTGGGTTCGATTACAGAATCATAATGGCCAGAAACAAAGAACTTTCTTCTGAAACTCGTCAGTCTATTCTTGTTCTGAGAAATGAAGGCTATTCCATGTGAGAAATTGCCAAGAAACTGAAGATCTCGTACAACGCTGTGTACTACTCCCTTCACAGAACAGCGCAAACTGGCTCAAAACCAGTATAGAAAGAGTGGGAGGCCCCGGTGCACAACTGAGCAAGAGGACAAATACATTAAAGTGTCTAGTTTGAGAAACAGACGCCTCACAGGTCCTCAACTGGCATCTTCATTAAATAGTACCCACAAAACACCAGTCTCAACGTCAACAATGAAGAGGCGACTCTGGGATGCTGACCTTCTAGGCAGTGTTGCAAAGAAAAAGCCATATCTAAGACTGGCCAATAAAAATAAAAGATTAAGATGGGCAAAAGAACACAGATACTGGACAGAGGAAGATTGGAAAAAAGTGTTATGGACAGATGAATCCAAGTTTGAGGTGTTCGGATCACAAAGAAGAACATTTGTGAGACGCAGACCAAATGAAAAGATGCTGGAGGAGTTCTTGATGCCATCTGTCAAGCATGGTGAAGGTAATGTGATGGTCAGGGGGTGCTTTGGTGGTGGTAAAGTGGGAGATTTGTACAGGGTAAAAGGGATCTTGAAGAAGGAAGGCTATCACTCCATTTTGCAACGCCATGCCATACCCTGTGGACGGCGCTTGATTGTAGCCAATTTCCTCCTACAACAGGACAATGACCCAAAGCACAGCTCCAAACTATGCAAGAACTATTTAGGGAATAAGCAGTCAGCTGGTATTCTGTCTATAATGGAGTGGCCAGCACAGTCACCGGATCTCAACCCTATTGAGCTGTTGTGGGAGCAGCTTGACCCTATGGTACGTAAGAAGCCAATCCAACTTGTGAGAGGTGCTTCAGGAAGCATGGGGTGAAATCTCTTCAGATTACCTCAACAAATTGACAACTAGAATGCCAAAGGTCTGCAAGGCTGTAATTGCTGCAAATGGAGGATTCTTTGATGAAAGCAAAGTTTGAAGGACACTATTATTATTTCTATTAAAAATTAGTATTTCTAATCTTGTCAATGACTACATTTCCTATGCATTTTGCTACATTTCCTATTCAAACTCATTTCATGTATGTTTTCATGGAAAACAAGGAAAATTCTAAGTGACCCCAAACTTTTGAACGGTAGTGTATATAAATGAGATATTTCTGTATTTCATTTTGAATAAATTTGCTAACATAAAAAAAAAAAACGTTTTTGTTTTCACTTTGTCATCATGGGGTATTGTGTGTAGATGGGTGAGAAATCAATTGAATCCATTTTGAATTCAGGCTGTAACACAACATGTGGAATAAGTCTAGGAGTATGAGTACTTTCTGAAGGCGCTGTATATTATTATTTTTTAAGTCATGCCCAGCGATACATATTGACCCTGTTCTGGGTCCGCCTGTTGAGTATGGCTGACCTACCATAACAGCATAACAAGCATTGCCGTTCTCAAACCCATTAAATCTCACCCAATTTACCCACTACTAGAGATGTAGCCTATTGAGTCCCGAATTGGTTAGATCATGTTGGGTGTCATGTCAATGTTTTGTAGTAGACAAGATTAACATCTGATCAGCTCAGATTACTGTGTTCCACTAACCAAGGTGATTGAAATGCTCTCCTCTGTCTGAGTAGACATCGACAGTGATTTCTACACGGTGAAGTTCGACTCGGCCTTGCTGAAGAACGTCATGGTGGAGGCTGACGGGGTCATCCCACCGTTGAGAGAAGATGACCTGCCCTCCTGCTCTGACTCGGAGGACGATGACAATGGAGATGGCGAAGCAGCGTTCGCCAGAGGTAGGTACCTCTTTCAACAATGTGTAGACCATATACACTGAACAAAAATATAAACGCAACATGCAACAATTTCAAAGATTTTACTGAGTTACAGTTCATATAAGGAAATTGAAATAAATTATTTGGGCCCTAGTCTATGGATTTCACATGACTGGGAATAGGGATATGCATCTGTTGGTCACAGATACCTTTTAAAAAAAAAAAAGTAGGGGCGTGGATCAGATAACCAGTCAGTATCTGGTGTGACCACCATTTGCCTCATGCAGCGTGACACATGTCCTTCGCATAGAGTTGATCAGGCTGTTGATTGTGGAATGTTGTCCCACTCCTATTCAATGGCTGTGCGAAGTTACTGGATATTGGCGGGATCAGAGCATCCCAAACACGGTCAATGGGTGTCATGTCTGATGAGAATGCAGGCCACGAAAGAACTGGGACATTGAGCTTCCCTGAGACGGTTTCTGACAGTGTGCAGAAATGTTTAGGTTGTGCAAACCCACAGTTTCATCAGCTGTCCAGGTGAATGGTCTCAGATGATCCCTCAGTTGAAGAAGCCAGATGTGGAGGTCCTTGTCCGGCGTGGTTACACTTGGTCTGCATTTGTTACTAATGGAGCTGGAGGGGGTGGCTGCCGTTTTACGGGCTCCTAACCACTCCTGCTATTCTGTGTTTTTTATACATCATGTTTCTGCCACTGTCTCTATGACTGGAAAGAGCTTCTGGACATCAGAACAGTGATTACTCACCTCGGACTGGACAAAGATTTTTTCTTTAACGAATCAGAGGCAAACGATTTATGGCTCCTCCCGGACCAGGCCCAAATCCCCATCATTCGCATGAAGAGGAGACGCCGATACAGGGGGGCGCAGATCGGGGTGCTTGGTGAGAATTCGTCAGCGAGTGGATAATCTACCTTTACAATCCATGCTACTGACGAACGTGCAGTCACTGTAGAGTAAACTGGGTGAGCTCAGTTTGAGACTATCCTACCAACAGGACATTAAAAACTGTAATATCTTATGTTTCACCGAGTCGTGGCTGAACGAGGACTTGGATAGTATACAGTTGGCTGGGTTTTCCGTGCATCGGCAAGACAGAACAGCAACCTCTGGTAAGACGAGGGGTGGTGGTCTGTGTCTATTTGTCAACAACAGCTGGTGTGCAATCTAATATTAAGGAAGTCTCTAGGTTTTTCTCGCCTGTGGTGGAGTACCTGATGATAAGCTGTAGACCACACTATTTACCAAGAGAGTTTTCATCGTAGCTGTCTATTTACCACCACAAACCGATGCAGGCTCTAAGACCTCACTCAACGAGCTGTTTTAAGACCATAAGCAAACAAGAGAATGCTCACCCAGAAGCGGCGCTCCTAATGGCAGGGGACTTTAATGCAGGAAAACTTTAATCCATTTTACCTCATTTCTACCAGCATGTCACGTGCAAACAGAGGGGGGGGGGGGGGAAACTCTATACCACCTTTACTCCACACACAGAGACGCGTACAAAGCTTTCCCTCGCCCTCCATTTGGCAAATCTGACCATAATTATATCCTCCTGAATCCTGCTTACAAGCAAAAACGTGGTCTGATGCTCAGTTACAGTGCTGTTTTGCTAGCACAGACTGGAATATTTTCCGGGATTCATCCGATGGCATTGAGGAGTATACCACATCAGTCAATAAGTGCATCGATGACGTCGTCCCCACAGTGACCGTACGTACATACTGTATCCCAACCAGAAGCCATGGTTTACAGGCAAGATCCGCACTGAGCTAAAGGCTAGAGCTGCCGCTTTCAAGGAGCGGGACACTAATCCGGACGCTTATAAGAAATCCCGCTACGCCCTCCGACGAACCATCAAACAGGCAAAGCATCAATACAGGACTAAAATTGAATCATACTACACCGGCTCTGACACTTGTCGGATGTGGCAGGGCTTGCAAAGGGAAACCCAGCCGGAGCTCCCCAGTGACTCAAGCCTACCAGACGAGCTAAATGCCTTCTATGCTCGTTTCGGCGTAAGCAACACTGAACCATGCATGAGAGCACCAGCTGTTCCGGACAGCTGTGTGATCATGCTCTCCGTAGCCGATGTGAGTAAGACCTTTAAACAAGTTAATATTCACAAGACAGATTACCAGGACGCGTACTCAGAGCATCCGCTGACCAACTGGCAAGTGTCTTTACTGACATTTTCAACTTCTCCCTGTAGGTATCGCCCTGTAATACCTACATGTTTCAAACAGACCACAATAGTCCCTGTGCCGAAGAACGCCAAGATAACCTGCCTAAATGACTACCGCCCTGTAGCGCTCACGTCTGTAGCGCTCACGTCTGTAGCCATGAAGTGCTTTGGAAGGCTGGTCATGGCTCACATCAACACCATCATCCCAGAAACCCTAGACCCACTACAATTCGCATACCGCCCCAACAGGTCCACAGATGATGCAATCTCTATTGCACTCCACACTGCCCTTTCCCGCCTGGACAAATGGAACACCTACATGAGAATACTGTTCGTTGACTACAGCTCAGCGCTCAACACCCTAGTGCCCTCAACACACATCACTAAGCTAAGGACCCTGGGACTAAACATCTCCCTCTGCAACTGGATCCTGGACTTCCTTACCCCCAGGTGGTAAGGGTAGGCAATAACACATCTTCCACCGTGATCCTCAACACGGGTTCCCCTCAGGGGTGCGTGCTTAGTCCACTCCTATACTCCCTGTTCACCCACGACTGTGTGGCCATGCACAACTCCAACACCATTAAGTTTGCCGACGACACAACGGTTGTAGGCCTGAGAAGGTCTGATCACCAACAAAGATGAGACAGCCTACAGGCAACAGGTTAGAGACCTGGCAGTGTGGTGCCAGGACAACAACCTCTCCCTCAACGTGAGCAAGACAAAAGAGCTGATAGTGGACTACAGGAAAAGGGGGGCCGAGCAGCGGGTCGAGAGCTTCAAGTTCCTTGGCGTCCACATCACTAACAAACTATCATGGTCCAAACACACCGACAGTCGTGAAGAGGGCACGACAACGCCTATTCCCCCTCAGGAGACTGAAAAGATTTGACATGGGTCCTCAGTTCCTCAAAAAGTTATACAGCTGCACCATCGAGAGCATCCTCACTGGTTGCATCACCGCTCGGTATGGCAACTGCTCGGCATCCGACTGCAAGGCGCTACAGAGGGTAGTGCGTACGGCATAAGGTTTTGGTGTGTAAGGAACATTTCTGGGATCTTTTATTTCAGCTCATGAAACATGAGACCAACACTTTACATGTTGCGTTTTATATTTTTGTTCAGTATAAATAGATTCCAGATTATATTTCTATGGTGTAGACCCAGCTTTATGTCTGAGGGTTTCCATGTAATGTTATGCAGCCACATTAAAGACATTGTGTTATGGGCGATTCTACCCCAGCATGGCCAGACATTATTTTGGGTATAACAGATTGTTTTGGCAAAAACTATGTTGGGAGGAAGGTTGTTTTAACACATTTTTACATTTGTCAAATCAAACATTTTTTGAAAATCATGATGAAAGTGTCCATTTTAGGCCCTTTTGAGAGCTATGCATGCCCCCCTCTCATTATACTCCAAGGTGTTTCTATCATGTACGGTTCACGGATCATAAAAATGGCCTAAAATGGCCACTTTCATCATGATTTTCAAAAAATTGTTTGATTTAAAATGTCAAAAGCATATTAAACATCCTTCCTCTCAATTCAGTTTCTCTAAGAAACAATCTGAGATACCAATATTTTGGGGCATGCTGACATGGAATCACCCTTATGTAGAAATAGAGGATGTTATTGATTGATTCAATTGGGAAGTAAATTACAAATGTTTTTCCTTTCGCTCTAACCACAAACATTAATGGATAACATGAAACCTACTTGCACAGTAACTTGGCAGAACGTTTCTTTGTACAGATGCCCTGCATGTAGCTAAAGTATTTAGTTTGTCTTCTCATTGACCCGTCAGTTTTGACCCAAGAGGAGGATTGGGCACCGTCGAGAAGTTCTTCTGCCTTTGGTGGCTGGGAGGCACACACACGAGGCATAGGCTCCAAACTCATGCTCAAAATGGGATATGAATATGGGAAAGGTAAGCATAAGTGATTATCAGTCAACAATCATGGAGACAATGCAGGTAAGTTGTATGCAGTAATACTGTAAAACACAATGTAATGAAAAATTTTGGTCTACTCTAAAATCAAATGCATATTGCCTTGTGGTACATATTTGCTGTTGAATAAAATGGTAAATTAAAATGGTAGTTCACAATCAAGGATTAGTGAAACACTCACTCACTGGCTGGCACATAGGTGCAGCAACAGTCTCCACTTCTGTCAGTCTCGGGCCATCTTCTTCACCGTGCCCCAGCTCTGCTGATGTTGTTGGAGCTCAGTCTTGATTGTTCTCTGCAATGTTGTCTTGGGCCTCCCCCTTTTACGTCTGCCCTTAGATTTGTGAAGTTTGTGGATTAGTAAAAGCAATGTCCCATAAAACTTGTACACTAAGTTTAAAGCAATTTAACTGTGGTCATTTCATAGTAGATGCATCTGTGCCCAACAGGTCTGGGTAAAACGTCAGAGGGTCGGGTGGAGCCAGTGCTGGCGGTGGTCCTGCCCAAAGGTAAATCTCTGGACCAGTGTGCTGAGCTCACTGGGAGGAAGACACAGAGCAAAGTGGCCAAAGGCAAAGATGGGGAGCAGGTGAGCCGCAATAAGAGAAAAAGAAAAGCTCGAGCAGGCAACACTGGTGGGTGCCACAACGTCTTTGACTTCCTGAACCGCAAGCTGGGGAATGGGGACGCCAACCCTGAGGCAGGAGGCACTGGTGGCCCCCCTCCCCCACATACTCCATCATCTCAAGGGGCCGGAGTGGAGGCTTACAAGGGGGGGAAGAGCACCAAGAGAAACCTGAACGTGAAGCTGTTCCAGGCGGCGGAGAGGGTGGCCCAGACGGAGAGGGAGATCCAGAAAATCACAGAGTCCCTGAGCCGACGGACTGGGAGGTAAGGAAAGGAGGGACCCTGGGAACTCACCTCGCCTCTCACATCATAAGATGGATGCCCAACAGCCATACAGGAGCATTTCACCGGGCATCAGATGTGAATGGCAGTATAGTTGTTAAACAATGTCGTCTAAACTCATGTCAATGATAGTTTGATCTTTGCTGGCTAGAGATGGGTATAGGATTTGCAGCAAATCACAAATATAGTAAGTCCCTATTCTCCCAATGCAGCCTCTCCCTCTCTTAGACCTCTATTGAATCTCCTCCAGTTTTCTTCTGTAGCAACTCTGCTTCTGTAGATGTACCTCTATAGTGTAAGTCTCTGTAAAGCAACTCCTCCCCATGTCTAAGTAGTTCTTATTAAACCCCACTGTTCCCTCTGTGTCCCCACAGGGATTCTTCCATGGTGACTCACCTGGAAGAGAAGCTGTCTGCAGCCCGCAGCCTGCTGGTCCAGCAGAAGGCCCAGGAGCTCTCAGCCCAGAGGGAAAACAGGAAGGCTGACACTCACAAGAAAATGACAGAGTTTTGACCACACGGTCCTCCAGTGGTCAGAACGCACAAACAATTTTAGTCACCTGAGAGAGGTGCCTGTTAAGCTTATTTAATCCATTTGACTCAAAAGACTTTGGCTGTTTTAAGGCCTCTGGTTGTTGGGCTTTACCTTTTTTTTTTTGTAGTTAACTGGCTACATGCGTGAGTTCTTTCTGTTTATGAAATGGCGACGTTAAGTTGCTGATGACCCTCTTGTTTTTAAAGGATGAGCCATGACACACTTGGATTAACTGTTGATCATGGATGAGACAGCTACATATAAGTGGATATGACAGATTTTGATTTGAGGTCCATCATTCTCTTATGTCGTTTTTCAATTTCCACCAATGTAACTAACCCTTTTCTTATGTTATATAGTTTGGAATGGACAGCTTTCTTTTAAAAAATAATTATTTTGCCAATGTTTTCAGAACTCACTGTACATTTCCATTATTTGTAAATATAAACCTCATGCACAACAAAACCTAAGTGTGATATTTAAAAAAGTATCCCAAGAAACACTTTTCATATTTGTTATTCTTAAGGATGCTTTGACAGGTTTTGTCAGAAGAAAGGTGAATTATTTTGAACAGATGTGACTGCCACCTTTGGTGATGTCTCGCCCACATCAAATTAGATTTTTGACTGACTTGGGGATTGAAACCTTGGGAGTTCAGAGACCTTTTGAGAGTTATGAAGTGAAGCCCATCCCTTCCCCCCGCATCCTCTCTCATACTCGGCTTCTAGCTACTGCCATTGTCTCTTTTTATTAAATAATGAAATTGGAGAATTGGTTTTTTCTCCCTATATGGCAGTGTTTGAAAAGATCAAAACCGTAATGGATCATGGGTAAATTGTGACTGACTGATCTACAAATAATAATGAGTAGTTATTTATGATGTAAGGTTCTTTGTATATTGAGTTACAGTTCATATAAGGAAAACAGGCAATTGAAATAAATTATTTGGGCCCTAATCTATGTATTTCACATGACTGGGAATACAGATATGCATCTGTTGGTCACAGATACCTTTAAAAAAAGGTAGGGCCGTGGATCAGAAAACCAGTCAGTATCTGGTGTGACCACCATTTGACAGCGCAACACATCTCCGTCGCATAGAGTTGGTCAAGCTGTTGATTGTGGCCTGTGGAATGTTGTCCCACTCCTCTTCAATGGCTGTGTGAAGTTGCTGGATATTGGTGGGAACTGAAACACGCTGTTGTACACGTCGATCCAGAGCATCCCAAACATGCTCAATGGGTGACATGTTTGGTGAGTATGCAGGCCATGGATGAACTAGGATATTTTCAGCTTCCAGGAATTGTGTACAGATCCTTACGACCTGGGGCCGTGCATTATCATGCTGAAATATGAGGTGATGGCAGCGGATGAATGGGACGACAATGGGCCTCAGGATCTCGTCACGGTATCTCTGTGCTTTCAAACTGCCATCGATAACATGCAATTGTGTTTGTTGTCCGTAACTTATTCCTGCCCATACCATAACCCCACCGCCAGCATGGGGCAGTATGTTGACTACGTTGACATCAGCAAACCGCTCGCCCACAAGACGCCGTACACGTTGTCTGCGGTTGTGAGGCTGGTTGGACTTACTGCCAAAGTTATAAAACGACATTGGAGGCGGCCTATGGTAGACAAATGAACACTTAATTCTCTGGCAACAGCTCTGGTGGACATTCCTGCAGTCAGCATGCCAATTGCACGCTCCAGAACTTGAGACATTAGTGGCATTGTGTTGTTTGACAAAACTGGACTTTTATTGTCCCCATCACAAGGTGCACCTGTGTAATGATCATGCTGTTTAATCAGCTTCTTGATTTGCCACACCTGTCAGTTGGATGGATTATCTTGGCAAAGGAGAAATGGGGATGTAAACATTTGGGCACAAAATTTGAGAGGTATAAACTTTTTGTTCATATGGAAAATTCCTGGGATCTTTTATTTCAGCTCATGAAACATGGGACCAACACTTTACATGTTGACTGCAATGTCGAACAAGCCCATTGTCTGAAGTGGCTGTGCCCGTGTGGTGATTTAATCTACTGATCCAGACAGACATTGCTCTTTCAAATACATTATTAAAAGGTTGAAATCGTGGTTCGGAATTTAAGGTGACTTCACCCTTTTGAGGAAGTACAGACCGATGCTTTTGCTATCTCCTATGAACACCTAATTAGAAAAGGGATGCAGCCCCACTTTTGTATGCCCACAGACCAATAAAAAACTATATATACAGCTCTGGAAAAAATTAAGAGACCACTGCAAATTCTTCTTAAATCAGCATCTCTACATGTATGACAGCCATTCCATTCCAGTGTCTGTTGAATTCCAACACAGGCACACCTCATTCTACTGAATTAGGTACTGATTAGGTGATCACCTGAACCAAATCTTATTTAACGAGGAAAAGTATAAAAACCACTGCTGTGGTCATCACTATCTTGCAATAGGACCAGCTGGATGGCAAAAACAGTGCTAATAGTACCACAAAAGTAATATTAATCAAAAAATAACTATTGACCATGCCAAAAGAGTTGAAAAGGAAAGTTTTGAGTGAGGAAAAGAAGGGTTCAATTCTGGCTTTACTGGCAGATGGATACAGTGAGCATCAGGTTGCTTCCATCCTTAAAATTTCAATGACGGCGGTTCATAAGAACAAGTTCAAGCAGCAGACATTGGGGACAACAAAGCTACAGACCGGCAGAGGGCGAAAACGACTCTCTACTGACTGGGATGACCGCCAACTCATTCAAATGTCACTCAACAACTGTAGGATGACATCAAGTGACCTTACAAAAAAATGGCAAACGGCAGCTGGGGTGAAGTGCACAGGCTCCTAGGAGCAGGGCTGAAGTCATGCAAAGCTAGAAAAATGCCCTTCATCAATGAGAAGAAAAGAAGAGCCAGGCTGAGGTTTGCAAAAGACCATAAGGATTGGACCGTAGAGGACTGGAGTAAGGTCATCTTCTCTGTTGAGTCCAATTTTCAGCTTTGCCCAACACGTGGTCGTCTAATGGTTAGACGGAGACCTGGAGAGGCCTACAAGCCACAGTGTCTCTCACCCACTCTGAAATTTGGTGGAGGATCTGTGATGATCTGGGGGTGCTTCAGCAAGGCTGGAATCGGGCAGATTTGTCTTTGTGAAGGACGCATGAATCAAGCCATGTACAAGGTTGTCCTGGAAGAAAACTTGCTTCCTTTTGCTCTGACATTGTTCCCCAACTCTGAGGATTGGTTTTTCCAGCAGGACAATTCGCCATTCCACACAGCCATGTCAATCAAGGTGTGGATGGAGGACCACCAGATCAAAACCCTGTCATGGCCAGCCCAATCTCCAGACCTGAACCCCATTGAAAACTTCTGGAATGTGATCAAGAGGAAGATGGATGGTCCAAATTTCACAAGCCATCAAACAAAGCCGAGCTGCTTGAATTTTTGCGCCAGGAGTGGCATAAAGTCACCCAACATCAATGTGGAAGACTGGTGGAGAGCATGCCAAGACGCATGAAAGCTGTGATTGAAAATCAGGGTTATTCCACCAAATATTGATTTCTGAACTCTTCCTAAGTTAAAACATTAGTATTGTGTTGTTTAAAAATGAACATGAACTTATTTTCTTTGCATTATTCGAGGTCTGACAACACTGCTTTTTTTTGTTATTTTGACCAGTTGTCATTTTCTGCAATTAAATGCTCTAAATGACAATATTTTTATTTGGAATTTGGGATAAATGTTGTCAGTAGTTTATAGAATAAAACAAACAATTTATTTTTACCCAAACACATACCTATAAATAGTAAAACCAGAGAAACTGATAATTTTGCAGTGGTCTCTTAATTCTTTCCAGAGCTGTATATAAAAAATTTTTTGGGGGGGGACTCAGTCGGGGTCTCAACTTACTGTTGAGATTTAGAATAATAGAATACACAAGGTGCAATTTCGAAATTTGGTTGTGCATCAGCAGTCACTCAATTAGCCCATGCCAGCACATTTATTTTTGATTGGTAAGTTAGTCTAGCAGCCAACTATCTAAACTTGTAAATATGGTCAAATTACCAACCGGGGTGGGGCCCATTGATTATCAGTTATCATATAAAAAAATGCTAACATTTGCCTCCACTCTATGGCCAAATGTGTAGAATTGCAAGAAATTAGCTGGTGTCCTTTAGTAGTGGTTTCTTTGCAAAAGGCCTGATTCACGCAGACTCCTCTGAACAGTTGATGTTGAGATGTGTCTCTTACTTGAACTCTGTGTTGTGAAATTGTTAGATATTACTTGTTAGATATTACTGCACTGTCGGAGCTAGAAGCACAAGCATTTCGCTACACTCGCAATAACATCTGATAAACACCTGTATGTGACCAATAAAATGTGATTTGATTTGATTTGAAGCATTTATTTGGGCTGTAATTTCTAAGACTGGTAACTCTAATGAACTTATCCTCTGCAGCAGAGGTAACTCTGGGTCTTCCTTTCCTGTGGTGGTCCTCATGAGAGCCAGTTTCATCATAGCGCTTGATAGTTTTTGCGTCTGCACTTGAATAAACTTTTTTTTATTTTTTTTTAATGTTATTGACATTTTCCGGATTGACTGACCTTCGTGTCTTAAAGTACTGATGGACTGTCGTTTCTCTTTGCTTATTTGAGCTGTTCTTGCCATAATATGGACTTGGTCTTTTACCAAATAGGGCTATCTCCTGTATACCACCCCTACCTTGTCACAATACAACTGATTGGCTCAAACGCATTAAGAAGGAAACAAATTCCACAGATTAACTTTTAACAAGTCACACCTGTTAGTTGAAATGCTTTTCAGGTGACTACGTCATGAAGCTGGTTGAGAGAATGCCAAGAGTGTGCAAAGCTGTCATCAAGGCAAACGGTGGATATTTGAAGAATCTCAAATATAAAATATATTTTTATTTGTTTACCACTTTTTTGGTTACTACATGATTCCATATGTGTTATTTCATAGTTTTGATGTCTTCACTATTATTCTACAATGTATAAAATAGTAAAAATCTAGAAAAACCCTTGAATGAGTAGGTGTGTCCAAACCTTTGACTGGTACTGTATATCGATTTGTAAAAATATATTTTCCTTTATTATTTTCCCCTAACCCTA